ATATGCGTCAAGGTAGATACTGTAGGAGAATTCGCGAAGAAAATCTTATCAAAAACCGAAGTAGTTTACCAAGGAGAAGATAAAAGAGTACCTAACAAACTGGCCATCGACTTCTTCACCAAAGGCCTCACATTAGAAAAGCGATACGACGATTACCTGATCCAGCTGACTTCGAGACTGCCCTCGCCATTGCGGAGAAGGAACACGTATTCTGGAACAAGAACATCGTGAAAAAAAAAAGAAATCTTAGAGAGCATCAATTCCCTGGTATTGTAGAGAAACTAACACAACAAGTCAACAGCCTACAACGTTCCAATCAGTCCATAGGACCAAAATATCAATTTATGACCGCCAAGAAGATCAATTACACCATTTCGGCCTCGTAATCGTAATCACAATAACCGCCACTTCTAGCCAAATCAACTAAGGTTCCACATCCGCTCTGCAATTTTTGGAATCGCCGCCCCTTCAATGACCAATTTCGTTTCTTCAACCAATCGTGCGACCCATTCATCCCCTACCAGCCACAACAAGCCCTCAATCCCAACTATTAGCAAGCCCTGTCACCACCATCCACAAGTGGATCCTTACTCTTCAACCAAACTTCCATCTGCAGCTGAAATTGTATACTTTTTGCACGTCTTAACTATTATAGATGCATGCCTTATAACATCTGTAATGTCTGGTTTCCAAGTCTGTGGTAGCAGCTCATTTCCAAAGATTTCATCACTGCCTAAGTTGGTGGAATGCAGTATAAATAGAAACTATATTTGAAACTGCCATACAACTAGTAACAAAAGTGGTAAATCGCCAGATGACAGCACATAAAGGCTACCGTGATGCCCTCAAAGTTTCAATCCACAGCCTCCTCTACATACGAAGCAAACGCACCGTAGTGGGATGCGAATGAATTTCGATATTACCAGAAGAATGTCAACCCGCTGAAGTCATTGACCTTATTCATGGACACCAGCTCACGACAATCTCACTAGGACTTAAAACAACCGAAGAAATAGAGGACGAAAACGCAAGACTTTCGCTGTGGGGAGCCAATCTCTACTTGAGAAGTCTATATTCCATCGAAGAAGCACAAATTGCCTCAATCAACGGTGAAGCAGTATGCAGTACCCTTGCAAATTTTAAAAACTGTTCGCTCTCTCAAAAACACTACCTTACCCTAACGAAATTGTAATCTGGAAACCATTACAGAAGACACAATGGTATTTGATCCCATAGGACATTACGACGTATTAGTTACCATGAAACATATCCACTACCGGAACATGAATTAGTTTTTGAACCCAGTCAAGATTACTTACTTCGCTCCAATCTACTTAAACACTGTGACATTTATAATAGTTATTCAATGAACATATAATCAGCTTTCCAAATACTCCACCTAATATAATGATCCAGGACTTTATATAGAAGCTCGCATACTCGCAGAGATAGACGCGAAGTTACATATCTCACCGACAACAAAAACCGACGGTCACGTTGTGAAATAGTACCCGGACAAGCCCTTCATAGCGCAACGAATTTTGGCAGTAAAGACTTCCAAGGTCTTCCACATTTCGAAACTCAATCCATAACGGATATAGTTTCGTTAAGAGAAATAAGGCTCTGGAACAGTTATGACTAATTATGATTTCCTTCGACGGAGTCGAATGTATGTACTAGAAAACACCTTTGCTATTTTCCGTACCATTCGATACGCGCGGTACCGCTATCGTCAGACCGCTTGGCTTGAATCCATATAAACTAAAAGATCTTTGAATTATGCAAAAATTTCTTTATTACAAGATTTAGAAAACGGCATTACAGATGTTTTTGATCAATACTTATCTTTAGAATTCGGAGCTTTAGATATGGAAATTAGCAGAGACCCAACCAAAAATCCGTACCATTCTTTCAATTAGAAGACTTAGATAGAATAAACGTCTCCACTCAGATAGAAGCAGACCCTTACGCTCATATAGAAAGGGGAACGATTCAAAAACACGCCTGCAATAAATTATTCAATCACCACTCCATTGCCAACAACTAGTACAACACCAACACCCATCCCTACGTCGCCAAGAATCACATAACCTACCACAACATAAACAGCGCCCTTCTTATTAATGATAAAACCACCGCCACCCTTAATAACAACAAAACTACCCCAGTTATTCCACTACGTGCAATACCTTTCCGAAACTAGGACAACAAATAGTACAACCTTGCAACCCTCCCCTACGTCTTCGAAAACCACAAACCCGCGCCTATCATCCCAACTAAGGCACCACCGATTTTAACGACGAAACCCCCCACCGTTACTCCATCTTACGTACAATTCGTTACTGAAGCCAAAACAACAACTAGTACACTAAAACCCTCTTCTACATAGCCGAAAACCACAAACCCGGCGCTTACCAACCCGATCAAAGTAGAGTCACCTTCATTAATGACAAAACCCCATATTCTACTTTACGTTCGCTTCATTCCTGAAATACAAACAGCAACAGCAGTACAGAAATAACCACCCATAAGTCCATACACCATTGATTCTAGCTACGCCAATTTATGAAAAGCTGAACCCGTCCTTATCTTTGCAAATCCCCGAAGTAGGACCCGATAGATCACTGCACGATATGAAATATCCTGCAACTTTACCGCCAGAATCCCAACCCGTCATTCCGCCTTCATCAACAAAATACCACTTCAACGC